ACAGAATAACTTGTTATATAACTGTTCCTGTGGATTTGGCAATAATTACAATTCAGGTTCAGAGTAGTTGAAGTAGATTGCTGAACTTTGAAAGACTAAAGATATCCATGGCACAACTCTATGCTCCTCTACTGAACTTCATTACTTTTAATTCTAAGATCTGGTAATGCAACTCACTAAAGGTAAAAGAAATGGCCTAAATGAGACTGTCACAGGGATAATTCTTCAGTGTACCCAAGAACATTGTAATTCTTGTCCAGAGCCCAGATTCCCTATAAGTGAGCGCTGCTTTGCGGTTTGTAATTTCTGTCTTTCTGATTTCTAATTCTACTAAATTCCATAGCACTACACATAAGATTTGATGTATGTTTTTACTAATCACTGCAGGTTTTTTTTGGTTTTATTTAATTTTTTTTCCTTACTTTTAGAAATGTTATTTGTACTTCTAATATTAATACATTAAAACTATTTCCAGTAACATTTATGTGTGTTCTCTAGGTATTGTAAATGATTCATTCAAGCAAAATATATGTTACAGCTAATGTGCAGTAAAATTACGAGTATGTATCTAACTTTGAAGAGTATTAAGGCTACTTAATCTTTGAGTGACATAAATATGGACCCAATTAGCACAGTTTTCAGCCACTTCATAATTCAAAAAATGTGATCATTCAGCTGAAAGCAAATTTGACAGAAATTTCATAGTCATGAAGGTAAAAGCTTGCAAGATCACCCAGTAGGATGGAGAAGCTGTCATTCTCTCATCAGTACTGTTGAATACTAATGTCAAGGTCAGAAAAGTGTAATTTTAGGCTGCCAAAATATTCTTGGATTTGATCTGCTAGCAACATTTAAAAAGAAAGTAACAACATAAAAATTTATATAAACTTTCATAAAATAACTATAAAGTTTTAGATGCTTCCCCACTGCAAATGTTCTGAGTTATTTACTGATTAGATTGACAGTTTGATATGTGTTTTTTTTCAAATTCTAACATTTGCTTTAAGTATCATCCTCATTGTCTTACATAAAAATTACAACTGATACATATTTTACAAATTCTGCATATTATTTTAAATACTGATGTGGGTGACTTGGTGTTCAAAATGTATCACAATTAGAGGAAAGATTTGGATGTAAAAATGCTTTTTTTAAACATAACAAATTGTCATGTATAATAAAATGATAGAATTATCTTTATTCTCACCTTTCATTTACATAGAATGATCATGTTAAATGGGGACTCTTACTGCTGGCTCCATCTAACTAATCACCACATATAAACAAGATGAGCCCAGGCTGTTCTCAGAGTATCTTCTGAATCATAAAAGGATGAGAGGCAATGACCAAAGCTTTCAACAAAGCACATTTCTACTAAAAATTAGAGCAAAACAGTTTCACAGTGAGAATGGTTAAGCACTTCAGCAGGCTTTCCAGAGATGCTGTTAAGGTTTTATCCTTGGAGATCTTCAGAACCCAATTTAGTGTTTACTCATGAGGTGTCCTGAGCAACCAGATCTGAGGTGTCCTGAGCAACCAGCAGCTGTCTCTGCTTTGTATAGGTAGGTTCAGCTAGATGACCTTTAGACTTCCCTTCTTCCTTCCAGCTTCCAGTATTGCATGACTTTTTCATGTCCATTTTGATAAAAAAGTTGTTTATGTAATTTATGTAAGATTTTTAAAGGTGTCAAATATGAGTGTAATTTTGAAAATTCTTGTAGGCTTTTGTAATCCTTAGGTTATGAAAGACATTTAGGGACTTGAAAGTCACCCCTTTTGTGAAAGAGCAAATCGTGTTACCCTTCAGGAAGCTGAACTTTAATTTTCAAGTTGGCACTACTTTCTTGCTCCTACCTACAGCTACTCTTTATTAATGGCTTCACTTACTTTTCTATCCAAATAGAAGAGTTCCTGAATGAATGAGTTATATCTGTACATTGATACTGTTGTAGTACTTTCAATTTTTTATGTAATTATAAAATAAATTTTGTTACTCAACTTTCTTAACACAGAAGTTCTAGAAAAACAAAATAAAGCAACATCATATTTTCATATCAAGTAGATAATTTATTTTTTTTAGTTCAGTTTTGGGTTTATATTTTAAGGGCTTTTTGGCTTTGACTGATTTTACATTACATGAATATGTCAATGAGCACTGGAAAAAATACCTCAGTAGGATTGCTTTTCAGATCCAGATACATCTTTGAAAGATGTCTAAAATGACATGTTTGCAGTAAAATATACATGGCCGGGTGAACTTTTCTGGTCTTATCTTGTGCCTCAGTAATTTTAAACAGAAACCAAAGCCTTTGTTCTGATAAACTAGACATCTTCCTAAAATATATTTATTAAAATGAAATATTCAAAGATTCCAAAGAACAAGTATACATACAGTAAATGCGTTCTTTTCTTCCTGTGCATGGTTAACTTTCATTCATATTAATGGGGTTATGAACATTCTTCAAGCAGAGAAGACTATCATTTTTAAAACCTGCCTATTGAATATTTGGTTTCATTAAATTTATGTTGCCTTTTCACTACAGTAGGGGAAAATAGTTTTTGGAAGGTGATGTTTCTTATGAGTTTAACTCTTTTATAAATATCCTCATCTCTGAGTTCACTTGTGAATATTTTGAGAAATATTTTAGAACCTTGAGAATGTTTGAGAAAACATAACTATATGGCATTTTCATAATTAAAGTGCTTTTTAGTGGTATTCTGAATATTGGATAGGCATCGAGGTAGTTGTCAGTGACAGCCACTCTGTAAGAAAGACAAATTCTCACATGATTTTTGAGACAGTCCCAAAAGTATGTTTGTAACAGCCAGTGCATATGTGATACTTCTTTCAAATGCAGATAGATGTTTCGATGAGTTGAGGGATAAAAAAACTATGACTCAAAGGACTTTGTTTTGTTGAAAATGTAATAGAATTGCTATATCCATATACTTTCAATTCACAGTATCTCAATAGGATTCTATAATTGCTCTAAATTCCTTATTTTCTGCAGTAAAGCTTTTCTGTACAAAGAAATTACTTTATAAAAGCCTGGCACCATGCAGTGGCCTTTTCTTAGTTCAAGAATCCTAGCTGATCTCAGAAATGGTGATACTCCAGACTAAGGAATTTATTATAATAATTTAGAAGTGTACCTCATTTATATGAATTAAATGCTTTCATTCTTAAAGTGGTTATTAATGTAATAATCTCTGCATTGAATACAAAATAATCAGATTATATACAATCATTGCAGTGTAAATTCTGAAATTTCCCAGTTTTCATGTGATTTTGGCACTCTATGAATGAAATACTTTTACACACCGCTTGCTAGCAGCCTGCTCATACATTTTTATGATTAAAACCATGCCCTTGAACTCTACAGTGCATGTCTGAAATTTATGGCATACATGCATTTCTTTATGCATCTAGTTAGGGGTGCACATGCGTGTATCTAACATTTGTATAAATGTTCTAAGTTTTCACCGTTCACATGTGTTTTCATATATTCAGCTCACCTTTCCATTCCCTTGGGAAAGTATGATTTAGATTTTTATTCTGGTTTTGGAGATTAACTTGGATCAAAAAGTTTTCATTAACTGCAGTTTGTTTTCAGTAATTTATGCTTGCTGTTACCTCTGAAAATCTGAGGTGGTTAAACGTACAGCATGGATGATACATACCACGACCCTTTGGCACAGTACAACTGGTAGTGGCTGTTTATATGTGCAATAAAATTGTGATCAATCTCTGACACTTACTACAGACTTCCTGCTGCTTAGAAATGTGTACTGTAATAGCATTTGTATGTTTTCTGTTCCCTTAAGAGTTCAGTATGCTGCTTCACAGGAGCAAAGAAAATTAGAAGTAACATCACAGACACTGTGATAGAAATAAATAAAGTAGCAATTTGTAAACTCTTCCAGACAGATCTTTACATATAAATGCAGGAGTCTCTATATATAGGTATAATGTGACTATAACTTAATAATAGGGATTATGTTTATATGTTGTGTGTATAAACACAGTTATTTTGTTTTATATATTACCGTTTCAATTGTAAGAACCTGACCTTTTCCTCTCCTCCCAATAACTAGACCACAAGAGACACCACTTAGTACACTACTTGAAGATGAAACTAATATCTTTAAGTTTTATGAGGGCGGTTTGTTTCTTTTCCTTTTTAAGCATTTGAATGGAAAGACTAAAATTCATTAGTCTTTTTTGAAAGATAAGTTTCTGAATTTTAATAAGACAATAATGGGTAAAAATGACCAGATTGCCATTGATTTTACCTTTTTAGTGTGGCAGACAGTTAATACTTTTCTGGGATATGTGAACATAAAAATAACTATAGACAGCATACAACCATTTTACCAGTTGAGAAGAACAGGAAAAAAACCAAAACAAAACAAAACAAAACAAACTTCCATATTCTAATATCAGTATAAATTAAACTACAGTAAATTTCCCATATCCCATGTAGCATCACCTACTTTTTCTGACATTTCACTAAGCTTATTATAGGTACTATAGAAAAGTATATAATTCATTATCAAGTCTTTTAAATAGAATGAATAATTTCTGTTCTTACTAATAGGATATGTCTGAAATGCTGATAAAATTTGAGTTACTGAAAGCTTCAATATAATTTTAATGGGTAGAGGATTTAGTTATGTGAAATATAAAGTGGGTCCGAGGAATATCTAGTGATTCTATCTTGTTTCATATCCAGTCTGAATTCTGTGCAAGTCTGTGGGAGAGAATTTTATCTTCTTAGTGCAGATGAAGAGCTGCTGCAATGCTATACACACTATTTTTTCTTACATTTTTGTCCCATAATTGCCTTTTTCTTCCCTTTAGTTAACATATTCTCAGAAAGTCATATTTGTTTAAATGCAGAAAAAATTTAAAGCATGTGCACAAAATATTTTTTTAGTTGGGCCTTGGACTCCAGTTCATACTGATGTTCTAATATATCTGGCACAGCAGCACACAGAGATGGGATAATTTTCTTCAAGCCATGATACTCCACTGTCAATCTCCATTCTCCATTAGACTTATACATGGGACAAATGGGGCTGTTGAAGGGTGAACGAGTCTTGCTGACCACTCCTTGGCTCTCCAGCTAGCAGATCATCTTATGAATGGGGATCATGGAGTCTTGATTTGTTCAGTACAGCCCGTGATGCACTGTCATGGTGGCAATTGATACTTGCTGTTCTTCTACCTTCAAGAGTCCTACAACAGAAGGACCTTCACTATTAGATGTATACAGCCCATGGGCAATCATTTAATTATTCATATGGAAGTTATATTCATTCCTTGTTTCTATACATTTGGAGTACTCCTTAACTCTTTCCATTTTCCATTCATGCTTTATGAGGAAGGGAAAGTTACTGATAATTACTGTCATCCCTGATTGATCATGTCCTATTCCTACTAAACTATTATAATGCATTCTGGTGAGGCTACTATAATGAAACAGCCATATATTCCTGTGTTGTGTTTGTTTTATTTATTAAGTAGTGCTTTACAAAGTGCCTTATGCCATTGCACTTTAACATAGGTTTCCAGGTTGCTAGAGAACAGGAGGTTGCTTGTGATAAAAAAACATCATATGTGGCTGTTGATATCTTTCTTTTTTTAAAAATAAATTTGTGGTGGCTATGAGTGGAGATGGAACTTGAAGGTTGAGAACTGCAAATATAATGTTATCAAATTAAAATGTGCACTTCACTTTATAGCTTTTACCTACAATTCTTTCCAGAAACACAGTGAAATTCTTTCAAACTGTATTATTTGCACTTCCAGCAGTTTGAAAGGTGTGTCTAGCTGAATGTAATAACCATAAATATGTGATTACAGGTAATTTAAAAGCAGTAAATTTACAGAATGACAGAATCACAGAATATGCTGAGTTGGAAGGGACCCACAAGATTCATCGAGTCCAGCTCCTGGCCCTACACAGGACCATTCCTAAGACCATTCACACCATGTGCCTGGGAGTATTGTCCAACACTCCTTGAACTCTGTCAGGCTTAATGCTGTAACCACTTCCCTGGGGACCCAGTTCCAGTGCCCAACCACTCTCTGGTTGAAGAACCTTTTTCTAATTTCCAACCTAAACCTCCCCTGACACAACTTCAGGCCATTTCCTTGAGTCCTATCACTCGTCATCACAGAGAAGAGATCAGTGCCTGCCCCTCCTCTTTCCCTCATGAGGAAGTTGTAACTGCAATGAGGCCTCCCCTCAGTCTTCTCTTCTCCAGGCTGAACAGACCAAGTGACTTCAGCCCTTCTTCATACAGCTTCCCCTCAAGACCCTTCACCATCTTTGCTGCCCTCCTTTGGACACTCTCTAATAGCTTAATATCTTTCCTATATTGCGGTGCCCAAAACTGCACACAATATTCAAGCTGAGGCTGCACCAGGTCAGAGCAGAGCGGGACAATCCCCTCCCTCCACCAGCTGGTGATGCTTTGCCTGATGCCCCCCAGGACACGGTTTGCCTTCCTGGCTGCCAGGGCATTGCTGACCCATATTCAACTTGCCATCGACCGGGGCCTCCAGGTCCCTTTTCATGGCACTGCTTTCCAGGATCTCATTCCCCAGTCTGTACAAACATCCGGGGTTGCCCCATCCCAGGTGCAGAATCCAGCACTTTCCCGTGTTGAACTTCCTATGGTTGGTGATTGCCCAGTCCACTAATGAAAATAACAAATAGCTAAATCCAGAATTAATTTATGAACTGAATCACAGAAGTGAATCAGGCCTATTTCATTCAATGGAAAAGCTATTAAAATAATCAGCTAATGTGTTGAAGAGGAAGGCAAATCTCACTTGAACCTGCATCTCTTCTTCTTTCCTGCAGGTACTTGAATTGTAACACCTTCAGACATTTCCTTTGTTAGTGTATTTCCACTTTCTATGCAATATATAAATATTCATTAGCATAGTAATTAGAACTTGGGTTTCCCATGTAAATTGCTTCAACAAACAGGGAATAGAATAATTTTTAGTGTCTCTGGCTCATTGAGTATATGAATAGTTATTGAAAGGAGTAAAAAGTTTCATCAGGAGAGACAGAAATTTACTTATCAGCAAACTGCCTGTAGTAATATAGATAAGAGAGTTCCTGGGAAATAGGGGTTAAATAGCCTTCAGGTAAAGCTGAAATGTAAGGATGAAATTTCCATACAGTTGATGATTGTTCAGAGAACTTTGTTATCAAGCAAAAGGTGATGAACACGCTAGTGGTATGTCTTTTTTTCTCCTTGTTTTTGTGTTTGGTACCTATGTTAAAGTTTACCATGTCAACAGAAGAAACAAGATAAAAAATGTTCATTTGATTTTCTTTCAGATGTCACTCACTCACAGATGTCACTTCCACTCAAGTATTGTGCAAAATCATTTGCACAGTTCCCTAGTCTTATTTTTGCTAATAGATAATTGCTTACCCAGTTCTTTTTAGGGAGTATTCCCCCACCACATGAAAAGCACAGGATATATTAGTTGGAAAACTTAAGGCACAAGTTAACAGAAACCATTTTATATATTAGAAATTAATATCACAACCTTTTAAACAAAATTGATCTTAACATTACAGATGTCCTTTCAAAAGTAGGGATCATTATCAGTCCGTTTTTATTCTAGAGTATTGTCATCCCACAACATGATTTAACATAGTTTAGGCCAGTCGTATTGGCAGCAAACTGTGTAAAACAGTTTGGGATTTTTCTAAAGCTTTTTAAACCAGTGTAAGATCAGGTATATTGAAGTGGTTTACTTTATTCTGGACCATTATAATTTTTGGTTTGAGTTAGAGATGGAACTTGGTGTAAAAAAACCCCCCACAAGTATGCTCTTGGTCAACAAGCAATAGATAGAGGAGACTCAAAGAAGGAAAAAGACAACAGAACAAAGAGGATTCTGTATTTGTGAAGATATGTATTGCACCTTTCTCCTTTATATGTATACAGTAATTGGAAAGGTGACTTCTGATAGCTCATGGGTCATATACCTGAAAGCAATGGTTGCAACTAAGTCAAAAATCTGGCAAGGTCTTTTCTTTCACATAAAGAGACATTTTTCCCTAAAAAATAAATTTTAAAAAAAAAGTAAAAGTATGAGTAATTACAGAGGAACATTCAAAAGCACTGTTTAAATTCTAGGGGAGAAAAAGATCTGTAAAGATGATTAATGGTTATCAGCTATAAAATAAGTGCTTTTAAGCTCTGTCAACTTTGCTTTTCTAATGAGGACTTAACTGCTCCCCAGCCTAAGCCTTTATCCAAGCTGTGTTTTGTATTTCATTTTTTTCAGTGTTTTGTATAGACATAGTTACCTTCATCATAACCTTTCAGTTCTTGTGTTTTGGCATCTCACAGATTTTGTATGCAAGTTTGGGGCTCAAGGGAAGCACATTTAACTGCAATGTCCAAGTAAGATTTGATGTGTGATGCAGGGTTATAGAACTCCTCTCAGACTTGCTTATTGTTGCAAACAGAGCCTTTGTAATTACTAGGGGATTATGGCAGGGTATGAAAGACCTTGAAAGCGGCTTTTTTGCAGATCAGGAATGTGTTTGGCACAGACTCTGAAACAATCAGCTAGAGTAGTGAAGCAGAAGTATATTAAATTGTGAAGAGTTCACTGAAAAGGTCCTGATAGAAACACCTAATTAAAGAAATAAAAACTGGCATTAATGATTGTGAAAGATTCTCACTCTGGTAAGAAAAAAGAGCCTCATGAGGATGGGAAATGAGATGACAACAGAAATACAGTGGCTTCTTCCTCTTTCTCAGCAACAAAAGTAACAAAATTTGAGGTTATATTACATAAATAAGAAAAATTTAATAGAAGCTAATTATTATGGCACATTACCTGAATTAATATGCAAGATTAACAGACCAATAACTCAGGAAAAATTTGGTAATTCTTTTATATGTATAAATTTGTGAAAAATTTTGTATAAGAGTATGGTGTAATGTACCACAAAACTACTTATTATATTAGCTTTGACTTCTTAATTAGTTCCTTATCTAATTATTTTTTAGTCACGAAGGATTGCTGTATGATTTCTTTACTAATTTCTAAACAAATGAAGTCTACATATTGTTATATGAGCCATAAATTTTTACTTTCTCCTTTTCTATTTTAAAGTTTTAAACCAACAAAAACAATACAATATCTGCTAAAAATAGTTTGTGTAAGTGTTGTTGAAGTGATTTTTGTTGGTGTGTGGGTTTTTTCATTTCTGATAAAATCTTGTGCCCAATCCTGATCATAGAGGATTCAGTGATAAACTTCCTTTTCTGTAATGGAAGCTTCATTGCTTTGTACTGAGTTTGCTATTAATACTTTCTGCTTGATGATGCTTCAATTAAAGTAAATTGAGGGGAATTATTGTTCAGTAGTGAGCAGGTAGGAAAATCACACAGTGCTTTTGGAAAATTACATCTGTAAATTTAACTAATACAGTTCTGAACTGATTTTTTTTTTACAAAAGTAATTAGTAAAGCCTGAATATTTTTGTGGTTTGCTTATCTATTGAATGAATAAAGGGGTTTTCATTTCATGAACATTTCTGAATAACATAATGAGATGCCTTTTTTGTTTGGGGTTTTTTTTATATTTTATTTTTTCCCTACAATTTAGTCCATAATATATTAAAAACATATTTGAAGCCCATTTGACAATATTTTTCTTTTGTGAAATATTTCTTATATATTTGAAAAGCAAAATTCTAAAAAATTGTGACGTTATTGTTTATGTGAAAGCACCTCTAGGCCACTGTATGTTTATCAATGGCCTGGTACAATAGCCAGAAAAACCAAATAACAATTTCCACTATTATTGATATTGATACCTTCTTCATCTGTCAGTCATAAGAGAATGAACTTCCCCATAATACCCACTGTTTTCATTGAATAGTTATCCCATGAATATATCTGAGATAAGAACAATATAAATTTTATTACCATACACCATTTATCAAGAATTCTTCATTTTCCATTACAGATCTCAAAGGTTCTTATAAAGCAAATTTATATTTAAGATGATTTTACTGGCTTTATTTTTACTGGAGTTGATTGAAAATTAGGAACTTCCAGCACTAAAACTTTCTGTCCCCTCCCCCAAGACATTTTAATTGAAAAATGCATTAACTTCTTTAGCTGGAAAAGATGTTTCCCTTTTTTGGGAATGCCGGGGGGAGAATTTAACATGGGAATCATAAA